GGATTATGAGAGGTCACTTCCACCGTAGGCATACAAAGTCTGTGCCTTTCGAAAGTGGTCAAAAGAGCATTTTGAAAGGCTTTCTTGGGGGAACATTTATTGAAAAGCCTGTCTTCCCAGCCACAGATGGATCCAATTAGTTTCCTTCCTCTATATTCATTCAGTTCCTGTCTGGAAAGTGGGAGGGGTTATTTATATACGTGTGAACTGGGAGGAAGGAGGCCTCCACAGCTTGCCATCTAACTGTGTGCAGAATTCTGGCACCCTTTGCTTGGCCCTTGGCTGCTTTCCCCACATGGTGTCTGGTACCAGAGACATAAAATTATGAATAAACCAGTAACTGTCCTAGCTTCTACAATGCAGGACACATGTTTTTCATGAACATTAAAATTCAGTTTTGGTTTTTTTTTTTTTTTTTTGAGAGAGAGAGTTAAGCCTGGGTTCTGACATTAATTCTTACTTGTCTTCCTCTTGGCAGAGTAGGTTGTTTATTTCTATCACAGAGAAACATTAACTCCTTTTTGCATGTTTTGCAAACCTAACTCCCTTTTTAAAAATAGAAATCCTTGCTGTCTTTACCACGCATCTGTATGGATTCCGATTGATAATTCCAGTCGGCTTATGTTTTCAGTCATTTCCTGTGTTCTCTATTTTGGGGCTATGCTAAAAAATTTAGGTGTTAAATACAGCCTTTCCTTGTTTTTCTTGCAGTTCTTGGACACCACAGCCTTATATATATAATGGTGCTCAATGATACTTATTTTTAAAGTAATTTCTCTAGGACTGATTCCTTCTATTAGAATTTGAAATCCTACACATTATCCACAGAAATCAGACATGTCAATGTCTACTTGTCTCACCCTTGACTACTCTCCCTCTTGGAACAGGCTCCCGGCATACTACCTTGCTGCTAGCTCTCAGTCTGTCAAACTTACTGTTTCCCATCAAGTTGTTAGAAGTAATGCCATTTCAAACATGGTTTGAATTTATTTGAACAATATTGACAAATATGTCTTAAATATACCCCTTTCTCGAAGGACACAATCCTGTATGGACAACCACCTGGTAGTTTTCCTATCCACTGACCTTTACTTTGGAAGGTTAAGTAGAGACCCTTGTGGCACTATAGGAACTGTGAGGACTTTAGTCAGGACAACTGCAAAGGAGTCAGGACTACTGATAGATCAAGCTCAACCCTAAGGACAACAAAATTTATAGACAATGCACAGAGAGATGGGATAGAAAGTGACAACAACAAGAAAACATCAAGATTGGCTGTCTGTTGTAGCACTGCTATGCTGACTTGCTGGGATTCTTGTTGACGGTAGACTGTAGTGGTTTGAATGAAAATAGCCCCCACTGGCTCGTAGGGAGTATCACTATTAGGAGATGTGGACTTGTTGGAGGAAGTGTGTCACTGGGGGTGGGTTTTGAGGTTTCAGATGCTCAAGCCAGGCCCAGTGGCTCACTCTCTCTTCATGCTCCTGCTGATCCAGATGTAGAACTCTTGGCTCCTTCTCCAGTACCATATCTGCCTGCATGCCACCATGTTTCCCATCATGAGCATAATGGACTAAATCTCTGAACTGTAAGCTAGCCCCAATTAAATGTTCTCGTTTGTAAGAGTTTCCACGATCAGGGTGTCTCTTCAAACAATAGAAACCCTAAGACACAGACTAAATATGTAGATATTGGGGTGGAAGATGAAGACCTTGATTAGGTATAGGTGATTAGACACCCAAGAAGTAGGTTCTCCTCTAAATTAACATTATAGAATTCTTGTTAAACTTTGACTTCCCAGGCTGAAGACAACACGCAAAGAGGAAATCTAGTTGAACAAGAGCTCAGGAGAACCTAACAAGTTTGGTCAAGAAGAAAGCAATCTGGTACTGACCAGGAAGCTTCCCCTCTGATGGCTAGCCTCTATGGTACCAGAAGTACGATACAGGGTGATAGTAGGAAAAAGTCAGTAACAGTCTTACCTAGCTGTGAACCATGTGAGCTACACTAATGTCCAGTATGGCAAGGTATGTTCATGGGTAGAATAATGCCACAAATGTTACAGTGGTAACCAACTACTTTCTGGTTGGATTTAAGACCTGTTCCACAAGGAGAGACTTAATACTGTGAATCTGGCCAAGACCCATAATTGGGGAGTTCACAGGCCCGATGGGTAAAACTACTACTACTGCTATTTTTCTAAAGGGGCATGGTATCAAACTACCCTCTAAATCCATATTTCTATGCCCATAGATTAGCACAGCTCTAAAACCTCATCAGAGAAGTTTCCTACAACTGGCCAGAGCACAGAGAATAAACGTCTGTGGATTCCTCACCACAAATCATATCTAATGGCCATCTATTACAACCTCTCTCCAAAAGGCTCAGGGACCATCACAGAAAAGAGTCAGAAAGAGTGCAAGAACCTGACATCGGGGCAATCAAAGTGAAACAAAGTCCTCTGGGTATGACAGGACCACTGGCCCTCATGAACTCAGATGTAGTTGCCTGCATAAGACTTGTACAAGATCAGGCCAGTCCAAAGTTCAGCTTACAAGTGTGGGACTTACAAGCCCCTAACACTAGCTGAAGAGCCATTTCACTTGATGCATTCTGAAGGAGGGAATGTCAGTTTTCTTCAAGGGTGTGGTCCCTGGCAGGTCAACTCTGCTCCTTTGGAAGGCTCCACACCCATGAGTATATGGACAGTACAAACTGGATTCAGTGAGATATAAAACTTCACACATGAAGTTGGGAGAGAGTGGATATGGAAGAAGTGGGAGAAATATGATCAAAATACATTACATGGATAAAATTCTTAAAGAATTCAAAAAACAGTTTTTAAAGAAGATTCCTTCTCAATGCTGTTTCCTCAGCTGAATGAGCACTGTTGTCCCACAGTGACAAAATGGACTGGTTTCTAATGGTGACCATAAGCAGGTCATCAATATGGCTTAAATTCTCAATGTCAATCAGTGCTGTTGAAACATACATAAAAAATTCCTCTATAAAGTTGTAATGCAGCCAGTTTGACTCCATTAAATGATTTAAATGATAAGACTTACTTAACCGTAGACATATCTATTTAAAAATGTTAGTTAAAAATTTAAAAAGTAACCAAGGACTTGTGACTCATACTTGTAATCCCAGCACTTGGAAGGCTGAGCTGAGATTTCCAAGAGTTCATCCATGTCAGCCTGAGCTACATACTGAATCTAAGCCCTCCTGGGTTACAGTATGAACACACACACACACACACACACCAAAAATACAAAACAAAAAAATCCTCACCAAAAACAAAAACAAATCATAAAAAAACGCCAAGAACAAACAGAAAGAAACAAACTTTCAGAAAATAGAAGTTTATGTTCCACAAACTTAGATTGCCCTAATTTGGGGATTTCTCTTCATAGATGCACTTTATGCTTAATTCAGGAAATATCTTAAATTTGTCCCACAATGCAGGCAGAGCACATATTATTATTATTATTGGACTATTAATATCAGTATACTAGCATGAATGACCAAAAGTAAACCAATAAGAGCTAATGAGTGTTCTTGAAAATCTGTCATTCACAGCCTCTACATTTCATTTATTCCAGGGCTCCAGAGTTTTTCCATTCCATGTCTTAAATGTGCCTCTCCTTCTGTATATACATAATTTGACTAGTATGGTCAGTGTCATTACCTGTAACCTCCCTGAAATTAGGGTTCATACTTCTTCATTCTTCAATATAGACATACCTCCCTAAGTATCTATTTGTAGAACCAAATCAATTATAAGCTTAAATAAGTACCTTTTTTTTCATTAAAAAGTAGAGAAAAGACAACATAAAACTCATGCTTCAGGCATAATCCCAGCACTCAGAAGGCTAAGCTCGTGAGTTTGAGGTCAAACTGGGCTAGAGAGTGAGATAACTGTCTTTTTAAAAATGAAAAATAATGTCTTTTGACTTACCATAATTTATAGTAACACTGACAAGTGAAACAGTCATAATTTCCTTCACTTTTTCTGAAAAGAAATGTATGTGTACCAGATGTATGTGATGCCGGCTTTCATGTGCACATGGGCATGCGCCCTATGTGCAGGGTTGGAACCAGAGAAGAATACCTAGTGTCCTGCTCTATCTTTCTCAACCTTATCCTTGAGGTGAGATCTCTCACTGAACCTCAAGCAGGTTTCAGCTAAGGCCCCACAGTGCTAGGGTAACTGATCCACACCTAGCTTTTTACCCAACTCCTTGATTTGAATTCAAGTCTTCCTGCTTGCTCAGGAAGTACTTTTATATCCACTGTGCCATATCCCTAGCCACCAGTAATTATTTTAATATGAATTCCTTCAGTTTTATTCAACATGTTACTTCTGAGATGATTTTGTACAGAATCTTGATAAAATATTCCATAGGTGAAATGAGTGCTTTGAACTAACTATAACTTAAAATCACTTTAAAATATAAATTCCTAAATCTTAAATATTAACCCCCATTCTCCACAACGCCTTTTTATTTTTTTCCATAATTTGTTTCAAATAGCTTCAAAATTTCTTAAAAGTATTAGAGTTTAAAAAAGCATTAGAGTATACAGTTTGCCTTCTATTGCTATTCTGCAATGGCCCCCTTTCGCCCTTCTCTCCTCACACCTTTTTTCTCACTCTCCTGCTTCTCCCTCATCTGTTTCTTGATAAACTGGGGGAGTGGGGGTTCCCCATATATGTCCCAACACAAATTTACATTCTAGTGGGGGAAGTGTGAATATATCATTAAGTCCAGAGAACTATGAATAGTTCCTAGTAACTAGAGTGACACAGGAAGATACATACTTGTGTCTCCATCAAATACTGCTGACAAAAGAAATCTACTCCTCCCCTTTCTTAGAGACATAGTACTGTATGAAACATTGTCTGCTGTTTCTTGAAAAAAGCATTTTGAACTGACATTTTCTTTGGAGTCACTGTTTTCTCAGCCTATGAGCCTATGTACAAAAGCCATACAACAGAGAAGTCTAGCAATTCTTTTATTTCCATTCAAAAATTTTATTTTTTGCTTAAAGAATACAGACTAAGCTTTAAAACAACACTGCCAAAAAGCCCAGGATTGTTAAGGAAGTTTTCATAGGCATTACAGGCATCTGGCTTTTCCTCATCTTTTCTAGTGAGGTTAGGATAGAGAAACTTAGAATAAGGATAATACCTGCCAACATTAGTACAAAATTCAGTTACATGCAAAACAAATAAACAAACAAAAATCCCTGAGCATGAAAGCAGTCTTCATCTCAACAGAATCTACTATTGGTTCTGTGTTGAGACAGGTCTATGTAAACCAGTTTGTCCTGGAAGCTGCTATGTAGCCCAGGCTGACTTTGAACTTATTATTCTGCCTCAACTTCTCAAGTGCTGAGATTACAGGTGTGGGCTACCACACCTAGAAATTTTTTTCTACATTGTAGCAAATATTTGAACAGTTTAGACTAATGCAAACTAGCTGTAGGGTCTTATAAGCTAGACTGTCTCCCTTTGTTAAGCACAGCTAAATTATCTGATAGAATTGTCACAGAGAAGCAATACATGGAGTTCTCAACCAAGAGAATCCAAGCTCCATAATCAACTGGAACCTTTTATCACATTTTTATACTGTCCTTTTCTACATGACTGAGTTCTTGAAACATTACAATTAGCAAAATGTTCAAAGGAAAAAACTGTTAATTCAAGATACGGTAACTAGAGGGAAGTGTACAGTTTCACCAAGTCTTCAGTCTGGATGATGGAGTCAGTCTTACTTCTTCACAAAATATTTCAGTTGCTCCTGTAGGAAAATGATCTGCTCATACTTCTGTTTCTCCTGCAACTTGAGCTGTTCTAGCTCAGACTGGAAATGACTCTTGAGGGTCAGGTTTTCCAATTTTCTGAGGAGATCTTTCTGTCTTCGTGCTTTGCCCTGAATCTTCTGGAGCTTTTTCTCCTTGTAGTGAATCAGCTTCTGAATTTCCAAAATTATTGAACTACGACCTTCATTAGCTTCGCACAAGCTAAACTCAATAAACTTGGTTTGTAGCTCCCTTTCCAAATCATCTTCCTCCTCCTCCTCTCCATCCTCCTCTTCCTCTCCATCCTCCTCCTCTCCATCCCCCTCCTCTTCATCCTCATCCTTATGCTCATCCTTCTCTTGATCGTCATCCTGACGGCTAGAATCACGGAACTCATCCTCATCCTTCTCTTGATTGTCATCCTGACGGCTAGAATCACGGAACGTGTTCTGAGGCACAGCACATTCAGATGAGCTATGCCCACTTATTTCGGTGGGTACCGGAAGCCCCGGAATACAGGCTGGGCTCTGGACTGCCTTGGTTTCATCATCAACAGCGATTTCCCATCGGCTGCTGATGGCTTCGGCATCGGAACGCAGCAGTCTCTTCACTTCCTTTTCCACATCTTTCGAGTCAACGTAGCCACCACAGCCGCCTTCACTTTGCTTCCCGTCGGGGAGCTTTCTTGTCGGTTTCCGAAACCGCTTCTTTCTGACATTCTTCAGTGGTGGGGTGATGCCATGCTTCCAAGTATATTTGTTCCCTGTCTCCCCTTGGCGTCCCAGGGCCGTAGCCCCGGCAGCAGGGGCTGGTTCTTCTGGAGAAGAGCGGGGATCGCCCTCGGCACTGCACACAAGCATCTGGGAAATATCCGCCGTTTTATAAAAGGTTTTCCTGTCGTGAGTTTTCAGGCTTCCAATGACACAGGGCAAATCGACGACTCTGGCGGACAGCGAAACGTCATCCACCTGAAGGACGGCGTGCCGTGCATCCGGAGATAGGTCAATTTTTAGTCTCTCTCTCATGGCGGCATTTCCAGAACGTATGATCTGCCTGACCCTGGAGGCCTGTTCCGGGGGCAGGCGCAGGATGAACTGGTTCTCCAGTTCGGGAGGAAGCTCGTCGTCGTCGTGGTTTTCGCTCATCTCGGCTCTAGGAGGCTGTGCGGAGGCCTGGGCCTGGACCTGTCTTGCCCTGGGGATCCTGGGAGTGACTGGGGAGGGCTTCCGCTGGGGTCTGTGTGATGCAGCAGCAGCAGCAGCAGCGAGGGCGATGTGACCCCAGGGAGTGCGTCCCCAGTGGGTAGGGTCAGTCAGCACGCTGGGGCCTGGCGCCTTCGTGTGCTCTCACACACACACACACACACACACACAAATGCACACACACACACACACACACACACACACACACACACACACACACACAAATGCACACTCGCCGCCGCCGGCCTCCAACCGCTGCCTCAGGCCTCGGCGGGCGTCAGCAAGGCCTCAGCGGGCCTTGGTGGGCTTCTGCAGGCTTTGGCGGCCTATTGGCGCCTCCACTGGTCCCGGCAGGCTTCTGCACGCCACCGATGGCCTAACAGCCTCCACCTACCCCTGTGTGCCTCCGCAGTCCTCCCTGGGCCTCTACAGTCCTCCGTGATCCTCCACGCGCCTCCCTGGGCCTCCGCAGGTCCTCCGTGGGCCTCCGCAGTCCTCCCTGGGCCTCCGTGGGCCTCCGAACTCCTCCCTAGGCCTCCGCAGATCCTCCCTGGTCCTCCGAGCGCCCCTCCGGTCCCCCGCGGTCCTCCCTGGTCCCCCGCGGTCCTCCCTGGTCCTCCGCGGTCCTCCCTGGTCCTCCGCGGTCCTCCCTGGTCCTCCGCGGTCCTCCCTGGGCCTCCGCGCCCCCCTCCGGTCCTCCACAACCGTCCCAAATCTTCCCTCCGGGCGGCTGCTGGGACCTCGAGGCAGCAGCAGCGCACGCGCTTCCGGCATGTGGACCGGAACTGACTTCGAAACGCCCCACCCCCCTCGCCCCACCCCCACCGAAACGCCCCACCCCCCTCGCCCCACCCCCACCCCCCTCGCCCCACCCCCACCCCGGCTAGCAAGAGGAACTTCCGGTTAAGCGTGGGGGAGCCTCCTAGAGGCAAACCGGAAGTATCTAAGGTGTGGTTTTCCCATGCGGGGACCCTGGGCCTTCCGGTCACTTCCGTTTTTTGTTGTTGTTGTGTGTGTTTCTTGGTGTTTGTTTTCCACAGCCGACCGTAAAAGCCGGGCCGTGTCTGGTGGCTCCGGAGCCGGTATAGCTCGTCTTCCAGCCAGGGCTGCCCGCTTCCTGCTGGCATCTTGGCCATCTCAGCATAAACCGGCCCTCCCCGGCCTCTCCCTTATTTCTAGTCTTTTCGAGAAGGGCAGGCAGGAGGCTGCTGGGCTACAGGGGTCCCAGCCCAAATGTTCCAAAAGCCAGAAACATGGGGCAGGGCGCGGGGGGGGGGGGGGCTTTCTTAAACAAGTACTTGGTCCTGGTGTGAGTTGTAAATGCCAAGCTAAAAGCTGTGTTTGCAATCGGGAGCTGTTTGCTAGTAACTGTAGACAGGGCACAACCACTCTTTACCCCTAAACAGCCTAATGTTGGATCAGGAAAACGAGAATACAGCATTTTCTTTTCATCAACAAAGAACCCTCACCACTAAATCCTGGAAAATCGCACTGGAAGAATATTTAAATAAAGTTTAAATGTAAGGACAGGTACGTGTTATAAATGCTGGCATTTTCACATACCTTGAGCCTTTAAGTAAAATTTAAATTTAAGGACAAGTGCATATTATAAATGCTGACAAGATGCACAAATGCATTAATATGGGCTGCCACTGAATGGAATTTTGAATAGCCTCAGTTTCTCCTTCTGCTATCTTTGAAGTAAAAAGCAGTCCCGCAGTCTATTCATTTTGTTCACTCACCCACACTGCAACACAAATAATTTTGAAGGCCTACTATAGCCGTGTTTTGGTGAGATAAGGTATGAATAGACTGTGGTCATTAATAGCTACTTATCTATGAGTACTGTAAAGCACAAAATAAATCAAGAAATTGAGGTTAATAAAAGAATTACCTATAATCCTTGTTTTTAAAAAATCTGGATCAATTTTATTATTGAGTTTGTAAAACTCAAGCCACAAATGAGGAAATGAAAACAAATTATATTAAAGGCGGGTGGAGATGATAGGCCCAGACCAGCTCCAAAATAACTGAGTAGTTGCTGAGGATAACTTCCCAAGTGCTGAGTGTGCATTACTGCATGTGATTTCATCAATTGCTAAGCATTATTAGAAATAGAAATTACTCTTATAATTTCAAAGTTTCAGGTCATATAGTCAGAATTTTTTTTTTTCCAGAGCAGAGGACCAAACCCAGGACCTTGTGCTTGCTAGGCAAGCGCTCTACCACTGACCTAAATCCCCAACCCCAAGAATTTTTTAAAGTATTATATAACATATATGTATGTCAACAACAGAAAGCTGAGGCTAATGTAATCAAAACAAGGGTCAAGGCCCAGCCCCATTGAGCAACACAACTTGGCAACTTTGGTCACATGGTTATGTCTTTAGAATCAAGGATATGAGAAAGGGCATGTGGAATCTCCCTCCATGATTAAGGAAAGCCACTGAGGTCAAGCATGTGTTAGGGGTGTCCCTGCATGGAGGTCAAGAGAGGCTATCGTGTGAAGCTGTGAAAGTGAAGCCTGAATTGTATTGGAGACCCCAAGATTTTGGAGATGCCAAAGTCATGCAGTACCAATCATGGAGAGCTGCAGACAGGGTGTGGGACCAGCCCAAGAGAAGGAAATGTGTGGCAGTCAACAAAGCTGGGGGAGTTGGAGTTCTGAAGACTGCTTTAACATCAAACATGGGGATCCAGAACTTGGAGTCAGCCTGGCTTTGGTGGTTCCTCGTTGTGGTTACTTTCCTCCATTTTTGGAATTAGTAATGGGTATTCTCTATCATTGTAGTTGGAAGTGTGATCTGTGTTTCTAATTTTGCTCCTGTGCATGCTTTCTTGCCCCCCCCCATGCTGTCCCATGAACCTAATGGACTGAACTTGTGAAACTGTACACAAGCCTACAATTCACTGCTTCCTCTCATAAGAGTTTCCTTGGTTGTGGTGTTTATTTACAGCAACAGGATAGTGACCAAGATACATAGTTTTATATAACAAATAACAATAACATATTAGTATTTTAAACAGATATAAAATTTACCCAAAAAGAAAATTAAAAAAAACTAATGAGAATAATATTTTTGATCTCTTTCTTCACTTTAATGGATCCTATTATATACTCACTGTACTATTCTGTCCTCAGACCAGTACTTGGCTTCAAGACAGAACTATTTCATGCTTTATTATCTATTGTTTTCTGGTGGTAACTATTACTATAGTCATAGACTTATTTAAAAGTTCATTTTTCTCCAGAAATGTTCATTCGTTTTCTTATTTGCATAGACACTTCAGTAAAGGTCATTTCTTGGGTTGCATTATTCATTTCTTATCTGCTTGTAAATATTTGTCTGCCACTGCAGGACAGTGAGTTTTATCATTTGTAATGAAATTCTAGATAAGATGCTTTAGGAAACATTTGCGCTAGGGATAAAGGATGGGGACTTAAAGAAGTGACTAAATGGAAAACTATTTTTACCACAGGCAATACCACCCACCCAGTCTTCCTGGAGAGGAGGATTTCACACACTAAAAAGATAGAGATAATTCAGGAAAGAGCATCCTTCTAAATGAGTCGTAATTTCACATTCAATGCAATGTGATAAAGAAACAGGGAAGAACCAGCTAAAATCTATGTATGCATCTGTCAAACAGTTATAAAAATTGCTTCAGCGATAACACATAGAAGATAGCCACATTATTCACGCTTGAAGGCACTTTTGCTGATATTTTGAACAAATGTTGATAGATTAACGAATGGGTGAGGTTTTTTTTTTTCTTTTTGATTGTGTGTGTGTGTGTGTGTGTGTGTGTGTGTGTGTGTGTGTGTGTGTGTGCTGCATGCATCCTCAAATGTGTGCATGCAGATGCTAGAGAAGGAAATTGGGTGTCGCCTTCCTCTATCATTCTCTGCCTTACTTTTCCTACTTCTTTACATTGTCTTTCTTTAATGTGTCTGTGAGTGTGTGCACCTGCCTGAGTGTACCATGCATGCATATGAAAGTCGGAGGACACCTTGTAGAAGTTGGTTCTCTCCTTCCACTATGTGGGATAATATCCCGAGGTCAGCAGGCTTGGCAGTAAGTACCTTTACCAACCAAGCCATCTCACCCACCTACCACATTTAAAAAAATATTTTAAAAATTTGTGTGATTACAATTGCATTATTTCCATTTCCCTGTTCACGTTCCTCTGTCCAAACCCTGCCATCTACCACCCTGCTTTTTCTCTTTCAAATTCATAGTCTCTCTCTCTTTTTTTAATTGTGTGTATGTATGTATGTATGTATGTATGTATGTATGTATGTGTATATTTGACTCTTCCTACCTTACCAGTCTGTTAATAGCTCCTCCTTGACAGGTAGAGGCTTCTGTGCCCCTCCCCTATCCATGCTTAAAGGTTGATTAGCTGGATGTTGTGCAGACAAGGATAGCTGTGGTGAGTTCTAAAGAGCCAAATACCCATCTTTCCAGCACATTTCAGTCAGAACTAAACCTGAACATTTAACAGGTTTAAGCTACTAGAAATTCTAAATTCTCTTTAAAGTCTCCATATTCATGATGCTCAACCTCAAGAAGTTTCATATGTGTACTCTTCAGGGTAATGGAGAGCTGGATTCTAAGTCTTGAGTCCTGACATTTTTGTACATTAAATTCTACACAGTAGTTTTCTTCATATTTCTTCTTAGAAGTTGGTTGCATTGAATTTCTTAAATATATAGTAAAGCTCTAATACTTTTTTTTTGAGACAGTGTCTTGAGTATCCCAGGATGGCCTTGAATCCACCATGTAGCAGAGGCTAACCCTGAACTTATGATTTTCCTGTCTCTACCTTCCCAGGGCTAGACGCTCACCAAGCCTGGTTTATGTGGTTGTGGGATGGAACATAGGGATTTGTGCATGATAAGCAAGTATTCTCCAGCTGTAAATCTTGCAGTTTTTGACCCATTATTTCTTAAAAACAGTTTTGTACCTTCTACACCCCAAGTTATTCTGCTACCTGAAGTGATTCTACAGGTAACTGCAACCCTGTTCATCCTTTGCTAAGTCTTTTTCCTCTGTGTGCTTCATTTTGGATCTTTTCTGTCACGTCTTAAATATTACTCCTCACTGTAAATCTACTGTTAACCTCATCAACTATTTTTCATCCCGGGCACCATTATTTTTATCTGAAGAAGCAATAGTTGAGTCATTTTAAATATCTTCTATCTCTCTTTACAATGTTCTTGCTTTCATTTCCTTTACCCTGGACATAGCAAATATAAGTGTGATGATTCTCTCATCAAGCTTCCTTGTCTATTAATTTAATCATCTGTGTCATTTCTGGGTCTTTTTTTTTTTAACCATCTCTTTCCACTTATATAAGAGATAGTAGCTTCCCAATTCTTTGCAGACCTTACAAATTTTATTGGATTTCAAACACTGAGAAGTTTACCATATTTGGTTTTGGTTAATTTTTATTCTCCATGTAACTAGGTGATTTAAAAGCAACTTAGTTCTTTCAGATTCTCATTATGCTTTGTTGGTGGAACCAGAGCGGTATTCAATTAAAGACAAAGGCTGTCAAATCAGATCCAAGGGACTAAGACCAGCTCTCTGATTTTTGGAAAGCTCTGAGGCTATCGTTCAAACCCTGTAAGCCACAGAGATAAGTCTGGGTCCTTGCTCTTCAACTCCAAGAGTCTTCTATTCCACCAGAGAACATGTGTTAGCATACAGCATAGACACAATATGGAATGTCCCAGTCCAGTCACC